AACTGCATAGTGAAACCCTGTCTCAAAAAGACTAAATAAATAAATTTTTAAAATATAATATTTAAGAAAGTATAGCTGAAAACATTTTAGAACTACAGTGTTTTTCTTTAAATTTAAGCTTACCTATTTTCATTGAAATTTCCAGTGTATTTTGCCCCAGTTGGGAAAGTGTAAGTCCCCAATCCATGAAACATATTGTCCTTAAATTGTCCTTCATACACTGCTCCTGAAAAATGCTCAAGTTTTCCAAAACCATTCATCTGTGTACAGCAAAGGAAATGAACTCAGAATTTAAACTTCATAGTTTCCCCAGAACTTTCAAATATATAAATTTAACTTAGTTATTATTTAGTTAACTTTGGTTTTTGTTTGGTTTTGTTTTGGGTTGTTTGAGATAGGGTCTCACTCTGTAGCTCAGGCTGGCCTAGAACCCTGGACAATCCTCTTGCCTCAGCCTTCGTGTGTTGGGATTACAGGCATGTGCCACTACGCTCATCTACTTTAGTCAACTTCATATCAGTATTTTGACAGAATTGTTGTCCTTCCTCTGTATCTGTCTGTGAAGCCTGTGAAATTAAATGCTCTCCATCCAGGGCATGTGAACTACGGGGTTCCATGATGATGACAACAGGGACCTTCATGAAGCCCTCAATGTATCGGAAATCTTAAAGGGCAACCAGTGTAGTTAGTTCAGGAAACAGTACAGAATATTAATTAAGAATGTGAACTTAAACCAGGCATGGTGACACTCACCTATAATCCCAGAACTTTGGGAGGCTGAGGCAGGAAGATCACAAGTTTGAGCGTAGCCTGGGCAATTAGCGAATTTGTATGACCTTGTCTCAAAGATTAAAAAAAGGCTGGAGATGTACCTCAGGGCAAAGGACCTGGGTTCAGTCCCTGGTACTTTGAAAACAAAAACAGAAATAGAAACCCTATACACACACACACACACACACACACACACACACACACACACACAACCAAAAGCAAACAAAAAATAGAATGTAAATCCGGATTCAAATAGGCTTGGTTATACTTTTTTGTTTATCATTTATTAGGCAAGAACCCTCAGCCTGATTTCACTCATTTATAAAATAGGAGTATTAATAGCACCTATCTTATAAGGGTTAAATATCACCCTTTGTTATAGGCTACTCATTACATGTATTTTTATTAACGTTGAAATGCTTATTTATCTGCTGTCAGTATTAAAAGCAACACTAAGGGGGTCGGGGATTTAGCTCAGTGTTGCAGTGCCTGCCTGGCAAGTGTGAGGTCCTGGGTTCGAGTCCTGATACCAAAACCAAAACAAAACAACAGTAAGGGCTGGGGGTGTTGCTCAGTGGTACAGCACATGCCTATAACTCGAGAGGCCCTGGTGCCCGTCCCCAGCTGGATGGCAGAAAGAAACAAACACAAAAACTATAATACCTTGTCGTCTTTCCAGTTTCCTGTGTAGACAATCCCATTAGGGGTGGTATGAACACCGATTCCATTTCTCTCATAGCTGCCAGAAGATGTTCTTGTACAGTCACCATCTAAACAAGGGAGAAACACCAACATATTTTAACTGGGAACCATGTTTGACTAAATAATATTTACGTCTGGGCCTGGGCCTGTTCCTAACTGTACCCTGTGTTTATTTTGGTCCCCTAGCACCCAAACCAATGAGACCAGAGATGAAGAGATCCATGGATCTAGGATCCTCAGACCCAAGGGCCAGAAAAATCGACAGGTCTTGCAGGTTGTCAAGGTGTCCTGTCTGCACTTAACGTTGGAGTTTGGATTTAAAATGTCTTCCTACATTAGGAGTTCTATGTTACTTTATGTAGGTGAACTTACAGCCAAATAGTTGGATAAAATGTGACAGCCTTGCTTTTTATTGTTAAGCTATTTAATTTTCTATATAGGAAAATAATTGAAATAGATGCTTACCGTACTTGTCTCCATTTGGAAATATAAAGTTTATCTTATACACTTCTGAGGCTGCTTTAAAAAATTTAAGAAAAGTTGTGTAAGTTAAAAATGCTCATGTCAGAAGGCTACAATAAATGTGCTTTCAGCACTAGCCAAAGACATGCACTTCACACAATCACAAGCACGTCATGGTTACTCAGCATGTCCACTGACTAGTGAAGAGTCCTGTGAAATAAACAATTTCCACCAGATAATAAATTTTTATTTATTATAACAAGTATATAATTCACAAACCACAAAATTTACCACCCCCCCTTTTTTTTGGTCTTTTTGAGACAGGGTCTCACTCTGAAGTTCAGGCTGGCCTCCAACTCACTTATGTAGCCCAGGCTGGCCTCGAACTCGTAACCATCTTCCTGCCTCAGCCTCCCAAGTGTTGGGATTACAGATGTGAATTTACCTTTTAAAGGTATAACAATTCAATGATTTTAGGATCTGTGGAGTGGTGAAACCATCAGCATATCCAGCTTTAGAATGTCTTTATCAGTACCTATTCACCACTTCCCCAAACCCCTGGTAACGGCTATCTATTGTCTGTCAATAGATTTTCCTGTTCTGGACATTTCTTTTAGATATAATCACAATCATCCTTTCACTTAACATATTCTTGAGGTTCATCAGTGTTGCATAACGTGTCAGTGCTTTACTCCTTGTATGGAACAGCACATTTTGTTTATCCATTCATCAGTTCACAGGCACCAGGTTATTTCCGGTTTGGGATCATTAGGAATAGCATTCTGCTATTGACACTGGTGCACACATTACTCTGGAGGACACATTTTTCTCTTGGGTAGCTGACTGGCCTATTGAGCGGTACAGAGGTAAAGGTGGGAAACAGAAGACAGGAAATAGAAAACACTGCAAGTGGGGAGGGAAAAGAAGCCCAAGCACAGCGAGGTTGGAATGGGGACCAGGTGAAAAGGGAGGAATGAGGGCCCCACCCCTGAGCGAAATGTGTCTTTGTCTGGAACACTTAGTGGACCAAAGTACTAGGAAGTCATTTTTCTCCCAACACTGAAAAAAAACAGAGGATAAGTAGACTCTAAATTCTAGGACGGTAGACT